TGATCCACATTTGTATCCTGTAATTTCTTTTCTACCAAAGCCAATTCTCAGCCTTAGCTGATAATTTTCTTGGACTATTTAAGTCCTTATTGCATTGTAAGACTTGAAACAAATTACTTCGCTCTTGAGTAGTTAATCAAATTGTGGGCCATAGCCGGTTAATATCTCCCAGCAATTTTTTAAAATCATTGAGAGTTTGTAAGTGATCTCTTCTGATCAATTTTCTGTGGTTGAATTTTTCTGTAAACCTATCTTATATCCTAAATAATTAATAGAATTTCCCCTTGGTATTTTTTCAGGAGCAATTTGTAATCCCCAACAAGGTAAAATTCTCTCTACTTCAGCAAACATTTTTTTCCTAAGGTATCTGCATCTGAATCAGCCAGTAAGATATCATCCATATAATGGTGAATTACAAATTGAGAAGCTTTATGAATTATTTCTAATAGTTGTTGTGCAATATAGTGACACAAAGTGGGTCCTTTTTACATTCCTTGAGGAAGAATTTTCCATTGGTAGCCTTTAACAAGCTCAGAATTATTGTAAGTAGGCACTGTGAACGCAAATTTTTCTCTATCCTGTTCTTGTAAAGGTATAGTAAACCAGTCGCTATAATATACCATCCTTTGGGTAATAAAAAGGCAAGGAAATTCCAGGCTGTAATCCCATTGGCTGAATCACCTTATTTATAACTTTCGGATCTGTTACCATTCTCCATTTTCCAGATTTCTTTTTAATAACATATATAGAAGAATTCCAAGGACTGGTAAATTTTTCAGTATGTTTAGCATTTAACTGCTCCTGTATCAGCTGTTCTAGTGCATGTAATTTTTCTGATGTCAACAGCCATTGTCCCCCCCCCCCCACATTTTTGTTAGTTAACCATTTTTAAAGGCAGGGGTGTTGGTACCTTTGAAAGACCAGTAGCTGTGTTGCCCTGCTTATGTACAATGTGAACAGTCTGTGACTGTTCTTGATAATACAGGAATTTTTCTCAGAAGTATTCTTTATTTTATGGTTTGTTTCTGAGATTGGAGGAATGTTAATCTGTGTTTTCTGTTGCTATAAAAAATCATGCTTCCATAAATTCATTGCTATGTTAGCCACATATGGCTTTAACTTTCCTCTCTGCCTTTCTGGCCCTATGCACTTGAGGCATCTTACACTTTGTTTTACCCGAGACAAAGTTCCAATCCCTAAAAGCTGAGTATTTACCTCCCGAGGTGGACAATTTGAATGCGAAGGTTTTTTTTTTTTTTTTTTACAAGTATTGTTATATCTGTCTCTGTGTCTACCAAACCCTCAATTTTGATACCATTTATGTGTATTTTTAGCTTTGGTCTGACTATAGCAGTTTGGCAAAATACTTGTTTTCTGGTGTCTCCTGAAATTTTTGCTTTATCTAATGAAGTTATTATGTCCTTAATCACATCCAGAGCAGTATGATTTTTAACAACAGATATTAAGTCTTTTAATTGCGTTGTGAATAAGTTTTTCCAATGTTGACAGGGAATTATTGAACCAAATTTGATATTGGGGCCTGCCAGAGGGCCCCCCTCAGGCATTTCCCTAGAGTGTAGGGTTACCTTGCCTGTCCCTTGTTGATGTGTATTCATTAGTGTAATGTCAGCCTTTGCTACACCTTCTGCATATTCTAGACTTTCTAGGGCCTTCTGTTTGGATTATCTCTATAAAAAGCTTTGTTTTTAGGAACACCTAGCCTACAATCCCTTTTCAAATGACCTTGTTTACCACAATTAAAACATCTGATATTTTGATTTTTCTTAAAATTTTTAGAAATTACTTCTATCTAAGCAGCATCATAAGAGTGAGATCCAATATCAGCCATCTTTCTAAATCATTCATCTATTGGTCCTGATCTTACTTTTAAAGGCCTAATCACCCTTTTACATTCTGAATTAGTATTTTCAAAAGCCAAAGATTCAATTAATATCCATCTGACTTCTGGATCTGATACTATTCTATTTACAGATGATGTCAATCTTTGTAAAAAATCAGTGAAGGCTTCTTTTGGACCTTGTATAATTTTAATAAATGACTCATAACTCTTTCCCGATTCTTCAACTTGTCCCAAGCATTCAAAGTTGCTAAATGACATAAAGTCAAGGCGTGATTATTAAATTGAAACTGTCTTTGCAATTCAGCATATTGACCTTCATCTAGAAATGGTCTTGGAAAATATCAATTGCTCTAGCCCTATTTCTTTGTTTTGTGGCCCTAGCTTCCTCTTTCTACCATGTTCTCCATTGTAAGTGAGGACCAGCTTCCGATATTGCTGATGAAGTCTTTCAAGTCTTGTGGGATAATTCTGTTGTGATTTGCCCATGAATTTAACATCTGCTTCACATAGGGTAAATACATACCATATGAAACTACTGCTTCTTTAAATCTCCTCAAATATATGCCTATAGGATTCCATTTAACTTCCTGATAACCTCAGGGTGTCTGTCGTCTCCTGGTTGTTGTATAGTAACTGGATAAACTAAGGTGGTTTTTCTAATAATCTTGGGCCACCCCTCTTCAATTTCATCATGTGGTGGCGTGGTAGGTTCTTGTCTAAATTCCTCTGTGTCTGAATATTTTTCTTATTTTCATTAGTAGATCTTTCTAAGGCTTGTATCTTATTGGTCAAATTTTTCTTATTTTTATTAACAAGTCTTCCTACAACTCGTATCATCATATTTGACACAATTATCAGACCTCTTTTTATATTTGGCAGAAGAAGCCACTGTGGCTATTAAGGATGAAATATGAATTACCAGACTGATAATTATAATTGGTATTATGTCAATCTCAGCTAAGTCTTTTATCCCCTCATTTACTGTTTTCATTTTCAAGCCATCCATAATAGTACTATACAGGGTCCTAGCACTCTGCATTGTGATATTTCCCATTCTTATTGTGGGAACGATTCTTCTTTTTAATATTACCCAACTCTCTCCTTAAGGACTTCCCAGGTGTCTCACCAAATTTGCTGACTTCTCAATTTGGCGGCAGGCTCAAGCACCTCCTGTGATTTCCAAGTGTAAACCTGCTTTCTGGAGTCCCTGTGAGTGGCAGCAGCCAACTGATGTGAACTCTCCTTTCATGTTTTGGTGCCACATGTTGGAGTGCCAGAATGTTGTTTTTCCACTGGCACAGAGGTTATACCTGAATCTACTGCTGTTTCAGTCAGGAACTGCAGCAGTTACTGGCCACACTTCACAGACAGCTATGTTCCAGTGAATCTGCCACTGCCACCAAATAGTTTTTTTTTTCCCCGTAAGATTTATTTATTATGTATACAGTGTTCTGCATGCATATATGCCTACATGCCAGAAGAGGGCACCAGTTCTCATTATTGATGGTTGTGAACCACCATGTGGTTGCTGGGAATTGAACTCAGGATTTCTGGAAGAGCAGTCAGTGCTCTTAATCTCTGAGCCATCTCCATTCCCCAAATGTAGTTTTTAACTAAGTTTCTATTTACCAATAAAGACTCGAGATTCAGAGACTGGGTTGAAAACTTGCTAGTTCAGAGAGGTTGAGGACCAACTAGCTGACCTTCTCTCTTCACCATCATCTCAGAAAGAGCATCTTTTCTGTTGCTCCAAAAAGAACCACCACACTCAAAGTCCCCATCCATCCTCCTTCCTGTGCCTCTCTATCCTGTTTCTGATCTTCTTCTGACTCTGTATGACTACTTTCTGTCAACTACTTGCTGTCTCTGCCTTCTGACCCAAGGTTGATTTTATTTAGTTAACACAAACGCAAACTTGAGGTTCACAGTGTGATCATGGTAATTTATAGCAGGGGCTGGGGCAGATCAGTGGTAAAACATGTGCTTAGGAAGCATAGATAGATAGATAGATAGATAGATAGATAGATAGATAGATAGATAGATAGATAGATAGCTGGGGCAGATCAGTGGTAAAACATGTGCTTAGGAAGCATAGATAGATAAATAGATAGATAGATAGATAGATAGATAGATAGATAGATAGATAGATAGATAGATGGATAGATAGATGGATAGATGGATAGATGGATAGATGATAGATATTGTATTTGTATACGCATGTTTAGCCTGGAGTAAATAATGTAAAACTAGAATATTTGTGCAATACATGGGTATGTGGCATAGAGTATATTCAATGAATGTTCTCTTTCTGTGCCAATTTTGAAATTTAATTCTTAAAAAGTATTTGTTATGTGTGGATGTTTTTCATGCATGTGTGTATGTACACCACATGCATGCCTGGTGCCCATGGAATCCAGAAGAGGGTTTTAGAACTTCTGAAACTGGAGTTAGAAATAGTTGTAAGCCACAGTGTTGGTGCTGAAAGAATTGAACCTGGGTCCTTTGGAAGAGTCCTAGCACTCTTAACCTCTGAGCCTTCTTCTCAGCCCTTGAAATTTCATTTTATGTCACAGATGCAAAGAGGCTGCACATCCATTCACTTAATGTGTTAGGTTCCAAGACCCATTGCAATGAAACAGACTAAGGGAAGTAGCAATTTCTGTTGTGAAGTTTCTTAATTGCTAGCTTGTATCATCAGATCCTTATAATTTAAACATTTATCTTTTATGGATCTAGATGCGGAGTGTATGACCAATTAAAGGGAGAACAACCAGGTAAGGTTAAGTGAAAGTTTCATGTGATCATCCTGACCTTTGAAAACAATGACTAAGCAACATACTATTTCTCTTTTATTATACAGAGATGGGTTGGTTGCTTACCTTAGTGTGTTGCTAGTATGTGTGTATTTGAATTCATGATTGTGTGCATACGTGAAGACCAGAAAAGTATGTTAGCCTGTTACTCTCTGCTTTATTCTTTTGGTACAGGATTTCTCCCCAGTGATTACCCTCCTCCCCACTACCCACCCCGCATCCCCTACAATCTCTGGCTTTTACATGGTTTCTGAAGTTCAAACTCAGGTCCTTATTCTTTTGTTCAGTCCACTGTCAGTTAAAATTTTGTTCCTTTGTTTCTCCAGCCTGTATTCCATGCCTGACCCATCTCTGTCGTTTGGAAATTCGGGCCTGTCTAAAAGCAGAACACCTTCGTTCTGACAGTTTCATCCATCAGTTGCCACTTCCCAGAAGTCTGCAGACCTATTTGCTCTATGAAGAGGTTTTGAGGATGAATGAAATTACAAGACCAGCAGCTATTCATAATAGAGGAATCAGTGAGGCCACCTGACAGCTCATTTTTTAATTCTGTTTAGTCATAAAAGGTGGCTTGTGTGGTTGTTTGGATTTGGGGGTAATAGGAAATGGTAACTAGGCTTCCCAATTCCCCTCTTCCCCAATATTGTGAACCTTATTCATCCTGCCTTACTTAGTTTTGTCTCCAGTGCACTTTGTTGTATAATGTTTGTTTCCTTGACCATTTTCTGCTTTATTATGTTAATGAGCTGTGATGCTGCTATAGTGCTGGATGTGACATCTTTCCACTTAAGATTCATGTTCACCTGTACTCGAAGCTAAGGATGGAAGTCACAAACTTCCCAGGAAGAATATATAACAACTGTGCCTTTCAATCACGTACCATTGTTACTATTTTATTTAGGAATTAATATTGCCTGTGTTTATAAAAAGAAATATTCCTATGTTTTCATAATGTTCTTAATTCAGACATATTTATGAGGTGTTGATATTCTTCCATTTTCACATGTAAACTCAGGGCAGAGGTTTTTTGTTTTTTGTTAAAGAACATAGATTTCAGTCATATTGCTGGTCTCCCACTTCCTAGAGCCTTTTATTAATACGTTTTGCCAAAAATATAGCCCATTTTTAGTCTTTAGCAAAGACAAGAACACACCTAAATTCAAAGGCATACTCAATATAAAAAATGTCATTTTAGAAGTATTGTACTCCACTTAGAATATTAATAAGGAAACATAAAAGGAGCATTGCAGTCATTGTGTGCTAAATATAGGAATCAGGCTTCATTCAGCTCCAGAATAAGAGGGCAGCTTTTTTCCTATGAATAGCCAAAAATATTCTATTAATACAATATTTTTCCTTCTTAATATCTGGATGTATTTTTAGAACATTGATGAAAGAACTCAGAATCCTGCCTTGTAAGTTTTTACAATTGCTTTATCTAAACCTCAAGTCAAAAAAACAAACATCAAGACAGTTGTCTGAGAGACTGGAAACTAGCCTTGGGAGGAAGTTACTAGTGTGTTGCTGTCATGATAGGCAGCACAGGCTGGTTTCTGCAGGAGGCAGTCCTTCATTTCTTGATAGCAATCTCCTGTGGTTAGATAGATCTTCTGGGCCCATCTCTGATAGGCCCTTGAAAGAAGCATGATAAAGATTGACTTCATTAGAACTGATTGGGAAGACTGTCTCATCTCTTACATTCAAGTCTTGTTTGATATGGATATAAAGTTTGGTATTGAAAAATGAGGCAGAAATTCTGATTAGTTTAATTTAATAAAGATATTCCAAAATTGTATGCACTGTGTTGTCTTTTTTAAATAGTGTGACATTTATTTTTCAAACTCTGTTTCAGGTTTTGTTTTTGGTCATGGCCAAATATACACAGAATTATTTTAAAAGATATGTCTTTTAATGTACTTTGTGTTCAAATGTATTACAAAAATCCAGTTTTCCATAAGTTATCATTGAGGACTTATTTTTGAAGCCCTAAAAATAGAGATGACCTGTGGCTGATGAATTTTTGGCTTACAGCAGCCAGAAGGTGACAAGCATCCCATAGAAATGTACTTTGAACTTGATCTTTTCCTAGGATAGCAATGCACAGTTTGAGATTCTCTTGAAGTCCGATGATGTTGAGTGACAATGAGCTCCTAGCCAGGCAGCCATGTGGTCAGGAGGATGGCTGTAGGGGGCATGAGTGTTCACAGATAAACACTGGAGAAACTAGGAATGTTAAACATTCAGGCTTATCTCTTCAATGGAAGGGATGTGTATACCTGTTTTCCCACCCAGAAGGCTGGGAGTGGATATTATTAATAACCTGGTGACCTTGCTACCTGTAGTTTAAACCAGAGTTTAGTTCCCAATACCCATACAGAGTGGCTCACAACTGTAAATCCAGCTCCAGGGATTCAGTATTGTCTTCTGGCCTACAAAGGCACCTACACACACATGACATGTGCTCACTCAGACTCATACACATTCAATAAATAATAAATCTTTAGGAGAAAAAAAGAAGCCTTTGGTTCGTAAGATTTGTTTTTGTTTTTGAAACAGGTTCTTGCTCTGAAGCTCAGGCTGCTAGAACTCATTATGTAGCCTGACTTGGCTCCAGATTTACAATGATCCTCTTGCCTTAGCCTCACCATTGTTGGGATTATAGATATGAGTCACCACATCTAGCTAAGCCCTTGGTTTTGAAGTTGATTAGTCTAGAGTGGCCCTGGAAGGTCCATGTATTAAACGTTTGCTCTCTAGTCTGTGGTGCTTTGGGGAAGTTTTAGGAGATTGTTAGACCATTTGGAGGATATTGGAACTCCTGTCTTCTGTTTCCTGATATACATTTGAAGTATATCTTTGTTCTACTTACCATAATAGGCCCAAAACAACAGACCAACAGATCATGGACTGAAAATCTCCCAAACCAAAATAAAACTTTTCTCCTTTTAGGTTGGCCATCTTAGGTGATTTTTTTCAGTTGTGGAAAACTGACTGATAGAGTGATTTTTTTTAACCTTATTGTATGCAATATTTCTTTTTGACATTTTTTATATTAAAATACTATTTTTATAACTTGTAAGGACTCAGTGAAGAATGTAATCTTAAAACATGCAAAAAGTGTGTTGTGGTTACAGCTTCTGATCAGAATCATATGTCTGGTTACAAGAGCTTTAACCTTGCTCCACTTGCATAGAGATGCTTTAGTATTTAATTTAAAGTTCTGTTAAGTGCCAGGTGTTGATAAGAATCATCTAGTTACATGAGGTTTAAACCCTGCCCCACATGCACAGTGGTGCTTTAGTATTTAAAGATCCAGTGAATGCCAGGTATGGGATATCTCCATACATGTTATTGACTAGTCAGTAAGGCCCCACAATACAACATAAGGTATTTCATTCTTCTTGGTTGCCTACTGTTACTAGATAGACCCTGTTGCTAAAGACACCACACACTTTGGTTGCTAGACGTACAAAAATCAATTTCAAACTTACTTGGAATCTACCTTCCTGACAGCTAGATTTCATAGTATCAAAGGGTGATATTCAGACCACTTGTGGAGAAAAGTCATCAGTGGACTTACTCAGTGGTGGACCCTTTATGCTGTTGTGCTGATCTGCCATGGAAGATACACATTATTATGTCTACCAGTTGTTTTCTGCTTGGACTTGATGTACCATTCCCATCCCAGTCACATGTAACCAAGGTGTCAGGAGTTGCATATGGGTAAAGCTCAGACTAGGAGATCCTTAGGATTACTTAGGTCTTTATGACTTGAGGCAGTTATTTGAAAACTCCTGAATTCTGATGAGAGCTAATGTGGACCTCGGGCATCTCAGGAACACATTCCTTTTGGTAGGAGGAGTAATTAATTTACCTAAATAAATATGGGCACATTTGACATCTTAGACTATCATAATAGTTCTATAATGCCATTTCTATTCTATTCAACAACAACAACAAAACACCTAAGGAAAAGTTAGTATCCCTAAGTATGACTTTTCAGGTTTTATATTTTGTTTTCTTTCTTTTTTCCATCATCAAGGCCCAATAGCTGTTTTTGTGTTTTAAATCTGTATTTATTATTGTTTCTGCTTTATTAAATGACAGTGATCATTGATGCATTAATGCCTTGTAGGAAATAAACAATTATTTTGTCTAATAAAATCCTGTAGTTTTAATTAGATGAGACTGATTGTGCATACTGTTTCTGTAACATGTGATTACAACCTCTATTGCATTAACATCAGTAGTTCATAGAGAGATCAGTATAAGTTATATTTTTAATAAAAAAATACTTTGAATAAATTGAGTGCAGATTTTAATATGACTTGTGGAGTTGCTTTGGTGAATAAATGTTAAATGAAGGAGATTTATTAACTGGTTACTATGCTAATAAACCCTGTAAGAAATTCTCATTTACAAATTTTAAGAAATTCTCATAGAAATAAAAGTAATGACATTTAAGTGTTTCATTTGAAAAGGAAATACATGTTATTAAAAATTAAAGGTGCCTGCAAAAGGATCACAAATTCAAAGCTATTCTCAGTTCTCAGGTACATAGGCAGCTACAGGTCGGCCTAAGATATGTGTGTGAGTCCTCAGAAAAGCTTTGTGTGTGTGTGTGTGAGAGAGAGAGAGAGACCTTAGGAAGAAGAGGAAAGAGGATGAAGCTGTGGTCCTTCCAGCTAGGTCCATTAATGTTAACTACTGTATTTGAATATTGTCTTTTTCTGAGGTTTTTATGATTTTAATCTATGCAGAAGGTTAGGGAATTAAATATATAGTTAAAATCAACCAATTTCACAATTTTGTCTTTGTCCATTAATTTTTAAAATCATTGACATGAGCCGGGTAGTGGTGGTACACGCCTTTAGTCCCAGTACTTGGGAGACAGAGCCAGGTGGATCTTTCTGAGTTCGAGGCCAGCCTGGTTTACAGATCGAGATCCAGGACAGGCACCAAAACTACACAGAGAAACCCTGTCTCGAAAAACCAAAAAAAAAAAAAAAATCATTAACATGAAACCTTCAGCAAAGCTAAAGCCATGTGCTTACAGACCTCTGAATCAGTAAGAATGGGAAAAAAAATGAAGTGTGTCTGCTCTTTTTTTCTAAGATTACCTGAAGAAAGCAAAAAACTCAACTTTCCATTTTGTAAAAGAAGCTGGAAGGGTAGGTAAGACCTGGTGGGCCTTCCCTAGCCATGTGATCTGTAGGATAGCTCCGCATGTGCATGTCTTGTGCTTTACTCCAGTATATGAGGCATGATATGTGCATTTATGATGGCTTTTTTTTAAAGGGGAGGGACATGTTTTCAATTGGTCTTACTGTAACTGATGCTATCTTGGAACTGTGTAGCCCTGGATGCCTGAAACCTATTGCAATTCACCTTCTTAAGTCCCCTTCATATTGAGGTTACAGGTGTGAGTCATGATATCTAGGTTTATAAACAAATTTAACATTGCTGCAGATAGTAAAGACCTGGCATGTTTTTTTCATGTCTTGGCTGCTTTTTAATGCATAGCATTAATTGATGAAGCAGAGCAGATGGTGGACTGAGACCTTGAAGACATCTGTTTATGTCTCTTTTATCATCGAATGGCTTGTATAACCTTTTCACTGACTTCCTGTGAGGTTGATAAAAGTCTGTCTGAAGTCATTTGCAATCTTAGTTTAACATAATGAAATAAGTGAAGAAAACCCTTCTGGCAGTGGGTTTGAACTGAACAATTGAAAAGAGGGCATTATACTTCTGAGGTTATTAGGAGTTGTCAGCTCAAATAATAGGAGCCAAGAGATCAGTTTCCAAATTGAGTATTTTCTTAAATAGATGGATTAGTTAGCATTATGGGATTTAGATTTTGAGTTTGGCACAAACTATTACTGTCAAGACAAAATATTCAAATCCTTATGGTATTTATTTTATTTGTAATTTTGTCACTTTATTAAAGCAACATTTAAGTGTCATGCTGTGATATTTATGTGTATCGATATAAGTACATAGTCACTCTTCTTTTTATCTTTATAATTGGAAATTTTAAGCATATAAAAATGGAGAATTTTATCATAGGCTTCCCCCCACTTCTAAAGACATTTTCATATGCCCACCCTGCACTGATTGGGAACAGGTAAGGCCCCATCTCTAGACTGAACAGCCCAGTTCTCTAGCCCCTAGGCCCCGGGGGCACATTTTGTGCCCCTCCCCCCAGCCATTGAAGCCCCAGGAACCGGACAGCAGTTCTTCCCCCACTCCTCCAAGCCAACCATCCCCTGGCACCAGTGACCATCTGAACCATACACCTACCCTGTATCAGTTGAGAACAGGTAATGCCCCTCTCTGGACTGGTCAGCCCAGTTCTCTAGCCTCTAGGCTCTGGGGGCACATCCTATGCTCCTCCCCGCAGCCAGTGAATCCCCAGAGACTGGGCAGCAGCTTCTTCCCCTGCTCCTCACAAAGCAACCACCGGAGCCATATGATCACCCTGCACCGATTGGGAACAGTGACCACTGAGTCCCCCCCCAACCCCTGCCCCTGCCCCGGACCGATTGGAAAGAACAACTACAGGAGCCAGAGGTCTCACCTGGACCAATTGGAAGAAGAGTGACCTGCAGCCCCACCTGTTCAGATTAAAGAAAGAAATAGGTAGACGGCATTGTAAGAACACATTAAATAACAAAGACCCGAACATCCAAAGCAGAAGAAAATGACCTTAAAAACAACTTTATGAAGATGATAGAGGACCTAAAAGAAGAAATAAAAAAATTCACTTAAAGAAATGAAAGAACAGACCAAAAA